CGGCCCGGCCCTTCCCGCCCCGGCGGCGGGTCACGGGGGGCGTTACCCTGGCGACGGGGGCTGCACCCCGAAACGGAGCCCGGCGTCGCCCTGGAGACCGGGCGGCTCCCCAAAATGGAGGCCGGGGGCAGCACCCCGGCATGGAGGGCGGCGGTGCCGCGGAGACGGGGCTGCTGCACCCCGAAATGGAGGGCGGTGTTGCCATGGGGATGGGGTTGCACCCCAAAATGGAGGCTGGAGTTGCCGTGGAGAAGGGGTGGCACCCCAAAATGGAGGGCGGGGGCAGTGGAGACATGGCAGCACCCCAAAATAGAGGGTGGGGTCGCTATGGAGACAGGGCTGCTGCACCCCAAAATGGAGGGCGCCATTGCCATGGAGACGGGGCTGCACCCCAAAATGTAGGCATGTGTTGCCATGGAGATGGGGCTGCTGCACCCCCAAATGGAGGTCGGGGCAGCAGAGACAGGGCAGCACCCCAGAACAGAGGGCAATGTTGCCATGGAGACAGGGCTGCACCCCAAAATGGAGGGTGCTGTCACCATGGAGATGGGACAGCTCCCCAGAACAGAGGCTGGGGGCAGCAGGGGGAAGGGAACAGCCAAGGTTACCATGGAGATGGGAGCGCACCCCAAAATGGAGGCCAGGGGGAGAGCAGCCAAGGTCACCATGGAGACAGAGCGGTGCCCCAAGATGGAGGACAGGGGCAGTAGGGGGGAGAACAGTCAGAGTTGCCATGGAGATGGGGCTGCACCCCAAAATGGAGGCCAGGGCAGCGGGAAGAGGGGAGCAGCAGCCCCAAATTGAGGCCATTTCCCACCACGCCACCCCCTTCCCTCCCTTCCTTCTCCATCCCTTCTTCAGACCCACTGTGGCCACTGCCACCATTTTCTGACACCCCGCAAGTCTCCGAGTGTCCCCCAAGGACAGTGACCCCGGTGGGGACCCCCTCACACAGCCCTGTCCAAGCAATCACTGATCTCCCCAACATCCTTCCAGGCCTTGAATCCCAGGGAAGGCTTCACACCGCACCCAGACACTGTTGGGTCTGACTGTAGCGGCGCTACAACCGCACTCGGACGCGGGTTTCACCGGCAGCACGAGCCAGCCAAGACCTAGTGACACAAATCCCTGGATCCGGCTGCCGGAGCGATGCAGGTGCCGGAGCGCTGCCGGCATCGAGTGCTCCTGTCCTGAAATCACACACGGTGCCGACAGATCCGGCGGTATTTTCCTCATAAAAAGCACTGAAAAAGGGCCCATGGTCTGCGTCCTGTGCGGCAGGAGCTGTGCAATGCTCCGAAACAACTGGACACATTCCCAGTGTCCTGAGTTGTCTGTGTGGAGCCTGGAAAAACCAACCCGCTCCATCCAACCGCATGCAAAGCGGCTTCGCTCCCCAGCTTCGTTTCTTTACGGTTTGGTAAAATGCACCAAAAAGATGTGTTTTGGTCCCCAAAACAGGGGCTGTCCCTTGTCCCCGTGCTGACCCTGTCGCGCTGTTGCTCCTGCCAAGTGACAGTTGCCGCGGGGGACACAAGCGACACTCGTTTTTCCATGATGCTTCCAACACGCGGCCTCAGTGACTGCAGGGCAGCCGGCAAGGGCAGTGCCCGGCTATGGATGCGCATCCCAAATCCCTGCGCATTCCCGGTTTTCCCGGCACGCTGCGGGCGCAGGGGGAACGCGCGGCCGCGCGTTCCCCCTGCGCCCGCAGCGTGCCGGGAAAACCGGGAATGCGCGTCCGGATGGAGCCATTGGTTGGACCTTGCACCCATGCACGCTGGCACCTCTCCGACCCGCTCCCGGTTGCCCGGAGCAAGGTCCGGAGCGCCAGGGCTTCCGTTTGGGAATTAAGGACAGAGGCTGCTGTGCTCAACCTGTGTCCTTCCCCATCGCGTCCCTCCTGCCTAGAGCTGTCCCTGGGATGCAGCGGGGATCCCCGGGATGCACTGGGGGATCCCTGGGATGCAGCGGGATTCCCCGGGATGCAGCAGGAGCCGGTGGCACCTCCGGGGGGGCTCTTACCTGCAGGGGTGCAGGGTTAGGAAGGGGCTGCAGGGGCTGCAGGGGCTCGGCAGGGTCGGGCTCTGGCCGCTCGCCGGAAAGCTGCAAACAAGACGCGCCGGAGCGGCGTGAGCACCCGGACAGGGACAACACCCGGACAGGGACAACACCTGAATGGGGACAACACCCGGACGGGGACACCGGAGCCACACGGGCCAAAGCGGGCAGCAGGACGGGGCACGGGACAGCGGGATCTCTGGGGACACCGGAGTGGGGACAGGGGCTGCAGGTGCCGCTGCAGGAGGGTCCAAGGGGGCTCCGAGGTGCGCGAAGGAGGAGGAGGAGGATGAGGAAGGGGATCCGCCGTCGCTGCCGCCTCAGCCCGCAGCCCCCGGACCCGCACGGAGCCGCCGCCGCCCCGGGCCGGTACCGGCCCCGCACTCACTCCAAGGTCAGCGCGGGGATCTTGAGCCGCTCCCGCCGCGACTTCATCCCGCCGCCGCCGCGGCAGCCCCGCGCTGGGCGGCTCCCGCGGGCCGCGGGGCTCGGCCCGCCCCCGGTTCCGCCCGGTGCCGCAGCCCCCGCCCGGCCCGGCCCGCCCCCGCGCTGCTCTGCCGGGCACCAGCGCGGCCGCGGCACGGGCCGGTGCGCCCCGAACAGCGCCCCGGTGCAGAACGGCGTGGCCCAGTATGGCCCAGTACAGCCCAGTGCGACCCAAACAGCACCCTGGTGCAGAACCGTGTGGCCCAGTATGGCCCAGTATGGCCCAGTATGGCCCGGTGTGACCTGAACAGCACCCCAGTGCAGACTGGCGTGGCCCAGTGTGGCCCCCTATGGCCCAGTACAGCCCAGTATGGCCTGGCACAGCCAAGTGCGGCCCGGCACAGCCTGGCACAGCCCTGTACAGCCCTGGTGCAGCACAGTATAGCCTGACATGGCCCAGTATGGACCAGTACAGCCTGGCACAGAGCAGCATAGACTGGTACAGACCAGTATGGCCCCTCACAGCCCAGTATAGTGCCAGCACAACCCAATACAACCCAGCTCAGACCAGCGTGGCCCAATACGGCCCAGTACGGCCCAGCACAACATGGCACAGCCCAGTATGGCCCCGCACAGCCCAGTACAGCTCACTACGGCCCGGACACAGCCCAGTACAGCCCCCGCACACTTCCAGTGCACCCTTCACACAGTCCCAGCATGGCCATTGCCACGGTACAGACCATCACAGCCTGGGAGAGCCCAACAGAGTCTGGGACATCCCAGTACAGCCTGGTACACCCAGTACACCCCAGCACATCCCAGTACAGTACAGCACAGCCTGGTACACCCCAGCACAGCCTAGTACAGCCCGTACAGCCCAGTACAGCCCATGACAGCTCAGAACACCCCAGTACAGCCTGGTACACCCAGTACACCCCAGCACATCCCAGTACAGTACAGCACAGCCCGGTACACCCCAGCACAGCCTAGTACACCCCGTACAGCCCAGTACAGCCCATGACAGCTCAGAACACCCCAGTACAGCCTGGTACACCCAGTACACCCCAGCACATCCCAGTACAGTACAGCACAGCCTGGTACACCCCAGCACAGCCTAGTACAGCCCGTACAGCCCAGTACAGCCCATGACAGCTCAGAACACCCCAGTACAGCCTGGTACACCCACTACACCCCAGTACAGCCCAGTACAGTACAGCACAGCCCGGTACATCCCAGAACAGCCTAGTACAGCCCGTACACCCCAGTACAGCCCATTACAGCTCAGAACACCCCAGTACAGCCTGGTACACCCACTACACCCCAGCACAGCGGGCACTCGCTCAGCTCACGGGTGCTGACGGCGGCGCGGCCGCCTCGTGTCAGGGCGCAGCGAGCCCCACAGCAGCACCCCGCGCCCCAACGGGCTGTCCCACATGGGGGCACCCAGCGGGACCCGTCCCCCCGGCACCGCGGGGACACGCGGCGCTGCCGGCACTTACGCTCTTCCTCGGCGCGGCAGGCTCAGCTCCTTCTGCAGGGAGGAAAGCAAAGCGAGGGTGAGCGCAGGAGCCACCCGCAGCATCCTGGGACCGGTACCCCATGTCCGTGCCATTCCCAACACCCCGTGTCTGCGCCATTCCCAGCAGGGACGTCCTGTCCCACGCGCCGCCACCTTCCCTGCTGCCCTGGGTAGCTGGAGAGTGGCCCCAGGGCTCTCCCGGCTCCGGGAATGCTCCCTGCCAGAGCTCTTTGCTCCCAGCTGGTGCATGGGGCCAACGGGCAGTGCCGCAGGCAGGAATTTTGGCCCCAAACGCTCTCCCCGGCCCCAAATCCACGTGGTTCCCCCGTGGGGGGGTCGGCCCACGCGGATGTGGCCCCCGTGCCGGGTGCTGCGGGGATGGCGGTGCGGGTGGCATCGCCATGGCAACGGGCGACCAGCACCACTGGGACGTGGGTGCCCTCGGCAGCAGCATCCAGGGCTCGGCTTGTTGGCGTTGGCGGGAAGCATCAGCCGGGCGGGCACCCGCGGCGCCGGGGTGGAAGCCCAGAGCTTCCTCAGTGCTGGGATGGCATCATGCCCTGGGAGCAGGGCCCTCCTGGGACCTGCAGCCAGGAGCGCCGGGGCTCTTGGCGCTGCGGAGAGCCCGGCGCCGGCGGGGCAGGAGCCGCCGAGCTCCTTTGGCCTCCAAAGGGATTTGCCCTTGGCTGGAAGGGAGCCTGGGGCTGCTGGGGATGTGAGCATGGGGGGACAGGGCTGCTCGAGGGGGGACTCAGGGGATGCATCACTGAGGGGGCACCCGGCAGTGAACCCTCGGCCAGCCCCCTTTCCTGGCACCCACATCCCACCCAGGCAGCACCCAGCTCTGCTCCCACAGCTCCTGCAGCACCCATGGCACCCGCAGCTTCCGCAGCACCCACAGTTCCTGCAGCACCCACAGCACCCGCAGCTGCCACAGCTCTCACAGCACCCACAGCTCCTGCAGCACCCACAGCTCCCGCTGTCACGCGCTGCGCACCCGCCCTGCACGCGCAGCACCCACCTCACGCCCCCAGCGCCCACCTCGCCCCCATCCCGCCCACTCCCGGCTCCCCATGTCCCTGCCAGGCTATAGGGCTGGCACTCCCCATATCCCGGGATGCCGGCCCCACGGTGCCTCTGGTATCCCAGCAACGTGGTAGCACCCGCATCCTGACATGCCGATATCCCAGTATCCCTGTGCTCCCAGCACCCTGCGCCGCCCAGCGCTCACCTGCAGGCCCCGGCGCCGCAGGATGCTGGACTCGTCCATGCCGGTGCTGCCGGTGCTGCCGGCGCTCCCGGTGCTGCCGGCGCTCCCGGTGCTGCCGGCGCTCCCGGTGCTCCCGCTGCGCCGCCCAGCGGTGCCGCCGTGTCAGCTGATGCGCGTCAGCCCCGGGAAGGGGCGGCCCCGGCTCGGCACGGCCTGGCACGGCCTGGCACGGCGCTGCATGGCCTGGCGCTGCACGGTGCAGCACAGAGCAGTCCCTGCTGCAGAACTGGGCACTGCGCTGCATGCAGCAGCCTGCACCGCACAGGCGGGCACAGCCTGGCACAGCACAGCGTGGTACAGCCGGCACAGCGCGGTACAGCCGGCACAGCGCGGTACAGCCGGCACAGTGCAGAGTGCAACAGCCGGGCACTGCACAACCCTGCCCCGTACAGCAGGGTGCAATGTGCAACAGTCGGGGCAGCGTAGAGTACAACAGCCGGGCACTGCACAACCCTGCCCCACACGGCAAGGTGCAATGTGCAACAGTCGGTGCAGCACAGTGTGCAACAGTCAGGCGCTGTGCAACTGCACCATGCAGACCCGTGCAAAGTGCAACAGTTGGCACAGCACAGAGTGCAACAGTCAGGTGCTGCACAACCCTGCACCACACAGCCGAGCGCAACAGCCGGCACAGCACAGCGTGCAGCAGTCGGGCGCTGCACAACCCTGCACCACAAAGCCAGTTGCAATACGCAACACTTGGGCACTGCACAACCCTGCGCTACACAGCGTGGCACAGCCGGGGCTGTACCGGGACAGATCCCACGGGGCCGGCAGCGCAGCGGGGGCTCCCGCCGTGGCCGGGAGCTGCCTGGCCGGCCCGGGGCGCACAAGGGGCCGCTTTCTGCAGGGACAAGGGCGCTCTGTGCACGGTGCCAGCCGGCCCAGGGTGCCCGGCCGCCCGCGCCGCTCCGGCCGCTCACTGGGGCTTTGTTTCCCCCGTGCCCGGCCGACACCAAAGGGTTCAAGCTCACACACCAAAGGGTTCAAGCTCACCCAAGGCCCCAGACCGCTGCAGCAAGCAGCAGCGATGCATGCGCACGCACACAGGGCCGTGCCCACACGCAACCCAAAACCCGGACCTGCAACCCCCTCCCGGGCTTCCCAGCTGCTGACGGCGTGAAAAACTCAGCGCAAACCTTGCAAAAAGAAAAGAACCCCCACAGCCCTCGTGCTTGGCTTGTCACCTGCGCGCGCTTGTGGCGAGCTTGCGGTGGGGGCCCCGCGGGGGCCGCCCCCCCCCCGGGGGGGGGATTTTTCTCCTGCTTTCTCTTTTGCTTTTGGCAGCGGCAGCGAGGTGCGCGGCACCCCGGCACCCCGCGCCCCAGGAGAGCAGGGGGTGCCCCCGCTGCGCGGCCACGGCCACCCATGGGCTCCCGGCGCAGGGCTGCAGGGAGGGTGGTGATGAGGAAGGAGCCCTTCGGCCTCGCCGCGCTGCTGCTGGCCGCAGGGCGCCCCGCGGCCGCCGGGCGCTGGTTGGTGCTGCTGGTGCTGCTGAGCCGTAAGTGACTGCGCGGCGCCGCCGAGGGCAGAGGCGCCCGGGAGCTTTCGATGGGCGATGGCGGCGCGATAAGGCGCGATAAGGAGCGGAGGGAGCTGGGCCGGCGCGTGCGGCTGCCAGGGAGCCGCCACAGAGGAGCCCGCAGCCTACGGGGCGACGGGGACGAGTCCTGGGGCTGTGGGGCTGCGCTTGGCCACATCCCCTGCTTGGCCATGTCCCCTGCTTGGCCACATCCCCGTGCTCGGCTACGTCCCCTGCTCGGCCACATCCCTGAGCTCAGCCACGTCCCCCCTTTTGGCCATGTCCCCGCACTTGGTCACATCCCACATCCTCGTGCTCATCCATGTCCCCATGCTTGGCCACGTCCCCATGCTCAGACATGTCCTTGGGCTCGGCCATGTGCCCATGCTTGGTCACATCCCACATCCTCGCGCTCGACCACGTCCCTGCACTCGGCCACATCCTCGTGCTCCTCTACGTCCCCATGCTCGGCCATGTCCCCAGACTCAACCACGTCCCCGTCCCCACACTGCGCCACGTCCTCGCGCTCGGCCACGTCCCTGTCCCCGCGCTCGGTCACCTCCCCGGGCTCGGCCACGTCCTGGCGGTCTCGCGCAGGCGCCGCCGCCGAGTCCGGCCTCAGCTGCTATCGCTTGTGCGGCACCAGCAGCTTCGTCTGCCGCTGGCCGCCGTGGGGCCCCCCCGGCAACACGAGCTACGAGCTGGTACTCTGGTGAGCTGGGACGCGGGGGGACGTGTCCCCGTGGGGACGCGGGGGTGAACAGGGTGCTGCATCCCAGTGCGAGGCCCTAGGGACGTGGGGAGGCGTCACTTCCCCATGGGAGACCTGGGGACACAGGGAAATGGAGAGCACTGCGTCCTCATGGGAGTGCCTGGGACCAGGGGGACATGGAGGGCATCTTGTCCCAGTGGGAACACCCAAGACCAAGGGGACATGGAGGGCACCTCATCCCAATGGGAACACCCAGGGTCAGGGGGACATGGAGGCCCAGCACACGGGGACACGGAAGGCTCCGCATCCCCACGGGAGCCTCTGGAAACACAGACACCGCGGGATGCTCCGGGCAGGAGGGCACAGAGGGGTCCCGGGACAGGGCAAGGAGGGACCCCGTGCGCCCCCGTGGCGGCGGCGCTGACGTCCCCGCGCAGCTACGTGCGGCCGCGGCGCTGCCAGCGGTACCCGGCGGGCGGCCGCGCGGCGCTGGCGCTGCCACTGCGCAGCGTCTACGTGCTCACCAACGCCACGGCCTGGGTGGAGGCGCGCGGGGCGGCCCGCCCGCGCCACGGTGCCAACCTCACACTGTACCTGCACGAGGCCGGTAAGCAGGCGGTGCGACTGCGACCGCGACCGCTGCCATCGCCGCCGCTCATGGCACCGTCCCCGCAGTGAAACTGCAGCCGCCGGCCCTGGGCAGCAGCTGGGGCAAGGCCGGGGGCCGCCTGCGCCTGCGGCTCCCGCGCCCGCGGTGCCACGAGGGGCCGCGGCCGCTGCAGCGCGAGGCCCGGTACCGGCGGCCGGGCGAGCACACGTGGACACGGGTAAGAGCGCCCAGCACCACGATGATGCTGCTAGAGGTGACCTGACTGCCACCAAATGGTCCTGATGGCCCCTAAAGCCACCTGGGGCTCTTCCCTCTGCTGAGACTCGCATGGCACCGGGATGCCCGGCTTCCCTCATAGGTGCCGTGTGAGTCAGAGCGGGTGGAGAACAGTGAGGAGGAGGCAGGTGGGTCCATGTGCGGCGTGGCGGACAGGGGGGCTGGTGGTGCCGCGCGGGGCCGCGTGGAGCCGGGCACATGGCTCAGCCCTGCGGCACCGCGTGGAGCCGGGCGCATGGCTCAGCCCTGCAGTGCCGCATGGAGCCGGGCACATGGCTCAGCCCTGCAGCGCTGCATGGAGCCGGGCGCATGGCTCAGCCCTGCAGCGCTGCATGGAGCCGGGCGCATGGCTCAGCCCTGCGGCACCGCGTGGAGCCGGGCACATGGCTCAGCCCTGCAGCGCTGCATGGAGCCGGGCACGTGGCTCAGCCTGCAGCTCTGCATGGAGCCGGGCGCATGGCTCAGCCTGCAGTGCCGCATGGAGCCGGGCACATGGCTCAGCCCTGCGGCACTGCATGGAGCCGGGCACATGGCTCAGCCCTGCAGTGCCGCATGGAGCCGGGCACATGGCTCAGCCCTGCAGCGCTGCATGGAGCCGGGCACATGGCTCAGCCCTGCGGCACTGCATGGAGCCGGGCGCATGGCTCAGCCCTGCGGCACCGCATGGAGCTGGGCGCATGGCTCAGCCCTGCGGCACCGCATGGAGCCGGGCACATGGCTCAGCCCTGCGGCGCTGCATGGAGCCGGGCGCATGGCTCAGCCTGCAGCTCTGCATGGAGCCGGGCACATGGCTCAGCCCTGCGGCTCTGCAGTGAGCTGCACACTGCGGGCACGCGCCGCGCTGGAGCTGCAGCTCCGCCACAAGCCGCCGCACTGGAGCAGCTACTGGAGCGAGTGGAGCGAGTCCTTAGCGATGCCCGAGGGTGAGCGGGCAGGCGGCGCGGGGTGCGCGGTGCCGCCCGTGCCCACCCGTGCCCACCGGCGCCGCTGTTCTTGCAGAGCTCGTGGAGAGCCCGGTCGCGCGCTACGAGCTGGGACGCCTGGGCGCCGACGGGCAGCGCGTGCTGCGGCTGGCCTGGCAGGTGGGCAGCGCGCGGGGACAACGGTGACACCACTCGCTCCGCGCCGTGCCGCTCACGCCGCCCATGCCCGCCGCAGCCGCCGCGCACTGAGCAGGGCCCCGTCACGTACACGCTGCGCGCCCGCATGCTGCCCTGCCGCTGCGCCCAGCCGCCCGCCCAGGAGCGCCTGCTGCTGCTGGACGCCGCGGCCGCCGGCCACAACGTGACGCTGAGCGGGGCCGCCTACGACGTGGCGCTCACGGCCACCAACGCCGCCGGGCCGGGCCCCGCCTGGCACCTCCACGTGCCGCCGGAGCCGGCCGCAGGTAGCGCGCGGTGCCGCGGGCACTGGGGCGGGATGCGGATGCGCAGCCGACCCCCGTGTGCGGGTGCAGAGCTTGGCGGCGAGGGCGTCCGCGCGGCCGGCGGCGCCGTGACGGTGCCATGGGAAGCAGCGCACGCCGGACTCGCCTACTGCTTTGAGAAGCAGCCGCTGGCCGCGGCGCCCCGGCAGGACGAGTGCGTCCGCAGGCAGTTCCCGGCCAGGAGCCTCCACGTGGAGACAGGTAGGGGAGAGCGGCCCCGTGCCCGTGCGGCCGCCGTGGCTCCGTGTGCCCGCGCGAGCTCCGTGCGCCCGCAGGGCTGCTGGCGGAGCAGGGCTGCTACCGGCTCGCTGTGCACGGCTGGGCACAGGAGCGCGGCTGGGCCACCTTCGTCCTCACCCACCGCTACGTAGGTAACGGTAGGTAGGTAGGATGGCACCACGGGGTGCGCGAGGTCCCCAAGGGCGCAGGGTGGCAAAGGGATCGTGCCAAGCCCGGCGAGGGGTCCCCGTGCGGCTCTGCTCCTGCCGGGTGTTTGCAGCGTGTCCCCACTTTGCAGCCTCGCTCGCTGCCTCCCTGCGCGTCGACGCCGGCGCCGACTCGGCCGTGCTGCACTGGGAGCCGTCGCCGCGCGCCGCCTGCCCCGGCGCCCTGCACGGCTACCTCATCTGCTACGGGCACGAGGGGCACAACCTGAGCCGTGAGAGCGGGCAGCTGATGGGACGGGCACCCAAAGGTGCAGGGGGCCCTGTTCTTCCCATCCTGTTCCCCCCGTGCAGAGCTCGAAGCCGCCGCGTCCGCTCGGCGCTACGTCCTGCGCGGGCTGCGGCCGGGCACCGTGTACCGCGTGGGCGTGCGGGAGGTGCCGGCGGAGCCCGGCGCCGCCTGCGCCGCGCGCTGGCGCTTCCTCACCAAGGCGCAAGGTAGCGGCCGCGGGCCCCGGCGCGCGCCGTGCGGCTGCTCCGCGCGCCGCCTGACCCGCCCGCGTGTCCGTCCGTCCGTCCACCCGCAGGGCCATGGAGACCCGACCTGCGGTACCTGGGCGTCCTGGCGGCGCTGCCCGCGCTGGCGGCGCTCTGCCGCCTGGGCAAGGAGAGGTGGGAGCCGGCGGGACGGAGGGCGGGATGGCCGCGCTCGGGCGCCCGCCGCTCACCCGCGCTCCCCGCAGGGCCGCCCGGCGCCTGTGGCCGCCGCTGCCGCGGCCGCGCGGCACCGAGGCACTGCACTTCCCGCCCGCCGACGCGGCGCAGGTGAGGGCAGGGGTGGCCACACGGTGCTACGGGCCAGCTGGTGCCACCGGCGGTGCCCAACATCCCGTCATCCGCAGGGCTGGTGCCGCGGCGGCTTCGTGCAGCCCTCAGAGCACTGCAGCCGCGCGGAGCTGCTCCTGCCGCAGCCCGCCGCCGAGCCCGGCTCGCCCGGAGGCTCCCGGCGGCAGGAGGAGCCCGAACCGGGGAAGCCGGGGCTGCAGCGGCGCCTCCTGCACGTCGAGGAGGCCGCGGCTCCGCAGAGCGGGGGCGACGTCGCGGCGGCGCCAGGGACGCTGTGAGGGGGACTCCGGTGTGGGAGCGGCAGGACAGGAGCGCCCGGCGCAGGGATGGCACGGGAGCAGCGTGGGAATGGCGGGATGCGAGCGCCCAGCATCCACACAGCGCCTGGCCGGCCGGGAACAACACGGGATCAGTGCCCAGCATGGGAACAGCGGGATGCCCGGCACAGGAATGGCAGGATGGGGGCACCCAGAACCAGGGAGCCGCCGGCATCGGGCAGGAAGCCGAGACATGGGCTCCTGCTTCCCGGTACTCGCTCATTAAATGCAATTCCAGATTAAATGCAATTAAATGTGCAGTTAAACATGCGAATAACAGCAGAAAAGGAAAGCAGGGGAGGCCGCGTTGACGCCGCCACGTGCGGTGCCGCGCGGTCCGGGCGCCGCGGCCACGAGGTGGCACCAGCTCCGCGCGGCGCCGGCTCCGCGGGGCCCTCGCCGTGTCCACGGTGCCCTGCGACAGCCGGGCCCTGCTGCTGTTCCCGCCGGGGGTCACGCGGCCACCAACGTGGCCGGCGCCACCGGCCGCTCCGGGTCACGCCGGGAAAGCGGCTCCCAAACCCTATTTTAGGACCTGGGTGAGCAACAAGAGCCCCCCCAACTCCCCGAGCTGGCGCCAGCGAACGCTGCCCGAGAACGGGCAGCTGGTGGCAGATGTGGAGACGCCAGGGAACGGAGCGAGCAGCGGCACCGGCACCTTCCCTCAAACCCGGTGCAAAACTGGTGACTTTTCCTGCTCTTTCCACCACAAAAGCACCAGGAAAGCAGGACAAACCAGCCCGGGACACCCCTACCTGCACTAGCTGCTCCAAGCCGCCCACATTCCCTGCTCCACACCAGGACACAACTCCCAACCACCTATCACCACCCACAATCTCTCACCTGGAAGCGGCCTCTTATCAGCAGTTCCCGAGCTCGGGCGTTTCAGAGCAATTGGGCTCAGGTTTGCGGCTGACCCACACCCGGATTAAGCTGCATCCAGCTGGAGACCAAGCCCTGGATAAAAACCAGGAGAAACTAAAGCCAAATAAGCCCTGGCTGTGTGTGGGGGAGCTCCTTGAAGTGCTGTTTTATCATTCCAGTCTTTCCCTGCACATGTGTCCATGAACACCCGGCGGCTGCGGGAAGTAACAGGAAGCGGCTGGAAAAGCCGTGGGATTTTCCCGGTGGCGCCGGGCTCAGCCCAGAGCTAAAGGGGACCCGGCTTTGAAAGCGCCACGGAGCGAAGGGCGCCCAAAGCCGGCCGCTGCTGCACCCGAGGCTGCCCAGGGGACAGAGCAGCCCTGGGGGGACCCCGTTTCGCTGCTAAAAGCACCAATATCGGCCACGTTCCTGGGGGCTGCGGGAACGTTTGCCTGTTTGGCAGGGATATTCACTTTTCTGGGTGTTTTTCCCAGGGTGAAATCCCCCGATACTGCGGATTTGTGCCCCCGCCACCAAAGCCGGGCCGGGAGGGAGGGATGCAGGATGCCGAACCGTCGCGCCGCCCTCGGCCCCCCGCCGCCTGTTTATCCATAGACATGTTTGCGAGCCGAGCGCCGCCGCTTCCAAAACAACCCGCCGTGGAAATTTTCCACTGCCGGAGGAAGCGGCCGGTAAACAAGGCCGGGAGCCCCGGGGCCGGCGCGCGGCGGCCGAGCGACCTCCGCGGCAAGGGCAGCCCCGCGGCTGCAAAACAAGGGGCCGGCCGCCAAAATAACGTGGCCGAGTGGAAGGGGCCGGAGCTTTCCCTGCATTTGGAGCCGCCGGTGGCATTGGGTGCTGCTGGGAAAGGGGGCTTTGCCGGGGGGGAATGGGATGCGTGCCAGGATGCACCGGCCGGAGCAGGATCTGACTGCACCGGGCGAGGCGGGCGATGCCGGGAGCAGCAGGATTTGCTCATCCTGGGGGAAAAACACAAGCTGCGATTCCTGCCGAACCGGTGGGGAAGGCGGCGAGGCCGGGACGCGCGGGGCTCTGCCAGGCGGCGCCGGCGGTTTCGGTGGCGGTGCGGGCTGAGTCACCGGGCGGAGGAGCCGCGCGGAGCCCGGCCCGGCTCCGCTTGGGGTGAAAACCTCGGGATTATGAAGCTGAAACGTTAAAACATTATAAATGTTTTTAACCAAGGGCCGTCCCCCCTGCTCCTGCTCCGTGGCTGCAGCTGCTCCGGGGCCGCGGCTGCTCCGGGGCCGGCTCCAGCTGGGAGGCGCCGGCGTTTTCCTGCAGCTGGAAGCGCTCCCGGGCTGGGAGGCGGCCGATCCCGGCACATTCTGTCCCCGTCGCCGCCGGCAGCCGAGGACACGGCGGGCGCTGCCGGCGGCCCTGGTGCCCTGCCCGGCTGGGCTCGGAAGCCTTTTCCAAACGGGCGCTCCAAGAGCTATAAATACCCCCCGCACTGTAATTCCATAATGGTTCCCAATGGGCCCCCTGGGTCCTGTCAGCTCCCGCACGTGTCCCCCCTGGGCACCGTGCTGCACACCAGCCCCGTGCGGTAACACGGAGCGGCGCAGAGACCCCCGCGGGGCAGGAGAAGGGGGCACAAAGCGGCAAACAGGGCCCCATTCGGGCTCTGCACACACGGCCCCGTGGGGTATTTTTAGGCCCCTGGGTTGGCTCCTAGGACAGACAGCCCGTCCTGACCCCCCCAGGGTGATCGCTTTACGGGAACGCTGGGAATGCTCGGGACAGGGGAGGAATTCCCGCTGCAAAAACACGTCCCGGCCCCGAGGCCGCGTGGTGGCGCGGCCCGGTGCCCGTTGGCATTGGGTTCCCTGGCTGGGCACAGACCCTGGCCCGATGGATGCAGCCCTGCCCCAGGAAAGCCATTCCCAGCGGCCGGAGACGGGGGAGCCACGGGAGCAAGAGCTGGGAGTCAGGCAGGGTGAAGAGTTTATTACCAAAAATACAACTCCCAAAACTCCCAAACTCCCCCAAACCAAATCGTACAAAAAGAAGCAGCAGAGAGAAAAGTCCTTGGTACAAAAGTGGTCACAGAAGAGCCCGTGGCGCCGTGCAAGCGCCCGGCTCACAGGCGAGCAGGGCAGCGCCAGCGCTGTCTCCGTGTGCCGCCCGCAGCCTCCCGGCCGTGCTGCGGCTGCCTTCCCCATCCCTGGATTCGGAGCACGGCCAAGCCGGGCTCCGGCGATCCTGAGAAACCAGCTCCACATCCTGCAGGCACCCCGCTGCCCGCCAGGTCCCACCAGCCCTCGCGGCCCTGGTGCCGCGGCCAGGGCACCCGGTGCTGCCGCAGCTCCATGGTGCTGCCGCCGCCGCCTCTCGGGAGCGGTGTCCCCGTTGCCAGGATCCCTGGGATCACAGCGTGGTCGCTCACGGCTCAGCAGGTCATGCAGCGCGGCCGCGTCGTCTCCGCAGGCGGGTTCGGGTCAACCTAGAAAGCAAGTTGGGAGTCAGGGCCCGGAGCGGGGGACTCGTCCCGCACCCCGACACGAGCCCGGGGGGCCTCGGAGCGGGAGGGCATTTGTTACCTCCGAGTAGAGCGGAGGTGGCCGGAGGCGAAATTCCTGGATGTAGGCGAAGAAGGGTCCCCCGTCCAGCGCGGAGCCGAGCTCGGGGCTCGGCGGCGCCAGGCTCTGCTCCAGCTCCGGGCTGGACACGACCGCCGAGTACTCGGGGGGAGCTGCAGAAGGAGCAGCGGCCTCAGGGAAGAGGGCAATTCCCGCTCCCCGGAGGCGCCGCTCAGCCTGTCCCAGGTCCCCAGGGCTCCCCCAGAGGAGCCGTGAGGCCGAGGCCGCCACGGAGGCCGGCACTCACCCTCCGGCCGCTCCGGGATGCTGCTCAGCCACTCCATGTGGACGCTGCCCTGGCTGCTGACGCTGGAGGTGCGGCTCCCGAATGGATGCAGCGGGATGGTACCGATGACGAGCGGCAGCTCCAGGATCAGCTTGGAGCTGCCGGGAATATCCACGCAGACCTGCGGAGATGGGACACAAGCCCAGTTAGGAGACACTTGCAGCTGCCACCACTGCCCTTTGCTCCATCAGAGAGGCAGGAACCTCCCGGCATTCCCAGGATGGATGCAGAGAAGGGGAACCCGCAACCACCATTTAAGCTGGGGACAAAGCAGCTTTTCCTGCAAACCGCAGGCATGACGAGCGCATCCATGGGAGCCCCCTCACCTTTAGGGAATATTCCACCTGGATGATGCGGCAGTGGAGGATGGAAGGGCCCACCGGCGGGATCTTCAGCGCCCGCCCGTGCCACACGTCCCTCTTGCCGGCCGCGACGGAGTCGCCCACGATGCTGGTCACCACCAGCTTCTTCTGCTTCTTGGTGCCGCGGGCCACAAAGGTCTGAGTCTGGATGATGGCGGCCTTGGGCACGACGGCTCGGCTAGTGCCGTTGTCGATCTCGGCAAAGATGGGGATGACTTCGCCTGCCCGCACAGAAGTGAGCATTGCAGGAGGGCAGCCCGGCCGCTATCCTGCCCCTGGCATTCCCGGAGAGCTCCCCAGGGCCCGAGATGTTCCCCAAAACCCCGTGAATCCGACAGGACTTCGGCCCCGAGGTGGCCACCCACACCAGCGGGTCCCCAAAACTCCCGTCCCTGCCGCGTTTCACCCCCCCAGCTCCCTCCCCGCGGCGCTTGCCCGTCGTTCCGAGGGCGCCCGCCGCTGTCTCACCTGGGGTGTAGCCTTTTCGGTCAATCTTGGCAGTGACGGAAACCTGCCCGCGGTTGCAGTACCAGGCCCGGGCAACCTTCTCCTTGGCACCCGCCTGTGGAGCCTGGGGAAAGGGCCGCGTTAGAGCCCACGGGAGGACCCTCCAGCAGCAGCACCCAGCCGGGGGCACCCGCAACTGCTCGGGCACCCTGGCCAAGGGGTCGCTGCATTGAGAACCCACGAGACCTTCGCATCCTTCAGCGCCTGGTCTGGGCGATGCCGGAGGGCGCGCGTTTCGGAGGGCAGCGTTCCCAATTCCTCGCGCCCAAGCGACAAGGGGACGCGGGGGTGGCGCTCACCAGCAGGGCGGGCGTGTTGATGTCAACGGGCTCGATGACGGTGAACTCCTTCTTGGCCTTCCTGGCGGCGGCCCAGGGCCGGTGCAGCTTGGCCTTCACCCAGTAGCGCACGCTGCCGTATTTGCCCTCGAAGGAGGTGGCCAGGGTCCTGCGCAGGGCGTGGGGCTCAGCGCGGGGCTTGGCCGAGCCCCCCGTTTGGGTCCCCGTCCCCACGGGACCTCCGGCGCCGCCACCGCGCGCGGCTCCCTCCCCCGGCACCGCAAAGCGGGGACTCACTCGGGGAGCTGGAAGGTGAAGGGGAACTCGTGTCTTCCCGCCGGCAGGACGGTGACTTCGCCGCTGTCTGTGGGCAGAGCAGACGGGAGGTGACGCTCGCTCCGTGTGCGGCTCCGGGGCGGACGCGCTCCCTGCCCCGGCGACGGGCTCGTGTGTCCTCCCACCCGGGTGCTGCCCGCGGGCTGGGTGCCCCATAGGGTGTCCCATGTCCCGGTCTCTGGGGACGCTGGTCCCTGGGTGCCTCCAGCACCCAATGTTTGAGACCCCAGTGCACCCATTCACCCAGGCACCCCGCACTGCTGATCCCTAGGGTGCCCCATCCCAACATCCCCCACGCCAGGGGCACTGGGGTGTCCCTCACACCCCAGGGGTGCCGGGGTGTCCTTTATCCCCAGCCCAGGGAGCTGATCCCGTTGCAGCCAGTCCCGGGGTGCCGGCTTATCCCCAGGAGCTGCAGGCAGCGACAGGGCTGTCCCCGCACTGTCCCCGGCCACCCCTGCGCTGTCCCTGTCCCCACACCGTCCCTGTCCCCGCGCTCTCTCCAGCACTCCGGTGCTGTCCCTACACTCTCCCGCGCTGTCCCCTCGGTGTCCCAGCGCTCTCCCGCGCTGTCCCCGCGCCGTCCTTGTCCCAGGCTGTCCCCGCGCTCTCCATGCCCGGTCCCCGTCCATCCCCGCGCTCTCCGCGGCCCCGTCCCGCCCGGTCCCCGTGCCCGCGGCGGCACCTGCGGGCGCGAGCAGCGTGCGCCGCTGGCTCAGGAACTCCAGCCGCTCGCTGTAGCTCTGCGTGTAGGCGCTGCTGGCGCCGGCGCTGCGCGCC